CGCCCCCCCCCCCCCCCCCCCTAAACCCCAAGGTGCATTACAATAGATAGATGACTGAGAGTGAATCCCAATACACCGTGTAATTTCCTTAAGGTATTTAGAAATGAACTTAATTTTACGTTGAATATTGAATGTTTCCTGAAGTACTATCTAGAGCAGACAGCGATAAAGGAAAATATCAGTGCACCTTAATCAAGAGAGATAATGCGAGTTACGTAAAACAGAAACAATGCATTTACAGTCTGTTTATATATACAAGAATTACAAAAATCTCCAGCTTAGTTTTCATCAGACTCAGACGCACCATTAAGATCCTCTTCTACTGAAACATCCGAGGTTTCATCTGATTCTTCATCATTGCCGTCCAATTCAACGTCCCGTAAAATAATCTCATCTTCTTCATTTTCCTCACTAGGATTAGTCCAAACGGCATCTGCCTGAGTGATTCTAATTCCAGGAACGTCATAGGTAAAGACTGGCTTCAAGCCTAGTGAAGGAAGTGACTTATCTCCATCTGACTTCGCCTTAATGAACTCGAAGTCCAAAATGTATCCCCTTACATAGGAGCCATCAGCATCCGACGTCACCATGGCAATCAATTTTCCAATCTCGTGAGATGACAAAGCCTTCAAAAATTTAAACCTTTTCCCTTGAATACGACTCTCGGCAATCGCTTCCATTTTACTTCCACCGATTTGGCATTTGTAGGCTCTTAAGAGGCTTCCGATTCCCACGAGAAGGTAAATACAATCCTCGTCCACATGGAAAACGACAGGAGGCTGAGAAAGAAGAACTGGAAATCGAGCTGAAAATATTGCCTTATGTGAAACGTGGTTCAGATCAAGAACATCTAGACGGTGAGATGTGGCGGTAGCAACCTGAACAAAGAGAAAATGATGAGATCCCTCTTTAAAAACTGAGATATTTGATGCTCCCTCGGCGTTTAACGCTCGAAGGCGAGTGGTATAGGCTTGGCGGCCACGAGTTAAAGACCAGATTCTCAAGGTATGGTCGCCATCACTGTCAGCAATACTGAAGGCAAGACGCTTTGAGGGATGTAGAGTCATAGCTCTAATAGAAGCCTTGTGGCGACGCATCTGACGAATGCACTGCCACTTATGAGAATTCTGAGTGATTTTAGCGCTTCCACTACAACGCCAAATCGCGATACATGAGTCTTCCCCGGAACTGAGAATATGACGGGAGTCCGCAAATATCAAGTGACGAATTGTGCCGGTATGAAACTCCAGACACCCCATCCGATGACGTTGAGAAACAGAAAATAGCTACATTCCATAAAGGGAATTTTGTGAATGAATTAAGAACGAAAATTGCGACAAAATATATTAAATATACCTGAATGGCTTCATCACCACTCCCCGATGCAACAGTATCTCCACATACAGCAAGAGCTGTAACAGGACCAGTATGTGCCTCAGGATCAATAAACTCAGCTTTCAGTCTAGATGGGCCACTGTCTTGACCTTTTGCGGGTTCATAAGACATGGCAAATACTGTTCCGTCGTAAGAACCACAAACAAAATGTAGACGTTTGGTTTGCTGATCTGACATCTAAAATGCGAAACAAGATATAACAGACTTTAGTTAGTCGAAACAATCTAGCTTTAACGTCACCTCAAAAAAAGCTTTAAAACAACTAACAACTAATACAGCGTGACTGGGGTGGATACTCAGGCTATTTAACACAGTAGGGTCATCAAGTACTAGAACGCTTCTAAAATATTGAATTATTTAAACAATAAAAAATAAAATTACAAAGTTAGAAAAATTACACAATCAATTTATTCATGCGGTATTTTATTAATTATACTTTGTAACAAGCTGTATCAATAATGTTATATGTTGATCTATATAACACCCAATAAATAAATCGAAACGTTAATCCTTATGGCACGGGTGTCGTTGCATCGCACTACACCAAAGGTGATGACGAGAATATGTAAACCTTATCAGGTAGATATTTCATTTTGTTAGTATCAGAACTTCAATTTATAAACACAGCTAGTTTCCCCATCGCAAATTAAACTTTCTAGTAAACATAAGATCAAATCTCCATCTCGAATCTTAATTTTAGTAGCATGAATTTTTTGTTAATATTTGAAAGACTTCGGATATATATTTATATTTATACATAATCCTCCCCTCTTGGGGGAAGCTAAAGTAAAAGATTAAGGGCTAATGATAAATATCATAAATCCTGCCATTTGAGATGAATAAATACATAATCCATGTGCATTCTTTTGGAATGCGGTTTTCTTTTGGTTAACTTTTCGAAAAAAACTCATTGGTGCACCCGGTAATGAAACTGATAATTTGCTAACTAAACTTTTTAAGTGTACATGATGCAAGAGCTCATTGGTAAGGAATCCGCGATTTCTGGTCTAACATAAAGACACGTTCAATTTAGACATACTGAATAATAAAAATGTGGTTTATGAAAAGTAATGTGGACGATGTGTAATGACATTTAAAATAAATAATTACCGAAAAATGCACCACAAATCCGGAATTTCATAAGTATTAGATCATTCTGTATTTTCTAGCCCAGAAATGACTTTGCCAGCTAGATTTGTTGTTGATTAGAGCTATTTACTTGAAAACGAACATAATTTAATAAAATAGACTGAACTAAGCGAACATATCTAAATATAAAATAATTGGCCTTATTCTACTAGTAGTTGCATTCTTCGGTGCTGATGTCTCAAAATTAAGAGATAATTTGCATTTTTCTAATTAATTTATAACGTTGCAAGTGTTTGCCGCAGTAAAATTCGTCACATATTTGAATAAACTGTTTATAAGTTAATACTTAAGTGCCTATTTAAGTTATTTAGCATTGACAAATTTTGTTTCTTCTGTATCGTTCTTAAATACTTACAAGCATTTGGTGTTTGAGAAAAGTTATTAAAATATACATAATTAATTATTTTATACTAATTAATAAAAATTTATATAAATAAATTGTTCTAGCACTCTATTTTGCATATGTTTTTCTATGTTTCAGAAAAGAACAGCGAATTCCTTGAACCATTAATCGGTTAATAATGTTTGTCCGCGGTATTGCCCTCCTGCCTCTTGTTCCAAAATTTTGCAATAGACTATTGAACACTCATGCTCGTGTTATGTGTAAGAGAGCAATTTTTTTTAATACTTTAAAGGCCCTATGAAGATTGGCATGCCCAATCTCTCACCAACAATGGAACAAGGGAAAATTCTTAAGTGGACCAAAAGGGAGGGTGAAACTATTGAAGCCGGTGATATTATTTGTCAAGTGCAGACAGATAAAGCTGTCATGGATATGGAATTTGAGGAAGAAGGAGTCCTTGCCAAGATTGTCGTAAGTTTATTTTCCAGCAGTTTTTCCTGATTCGCTACTTTTTTGCTCTTCCATTGCTTTTGCATTTTAGCAACACGAAGGAAGTGAAAGCAAGGTTGGTGAGATCATTGCCATCCTTGCCGAACCTGACGAAGATTGGCAGGAAGTTAACAAAAATGCTGATGCGTTCATTGCTTCGCTTAAGTAATTACTATTAGACCTATTTTATCAATGTGTAGTTTTTGTGTGTGACAATAAAACCTATCTACGGTTATCAATTTTTTTTGAAAATATTTCTTGTCCTATTGTTGAAATGTATTTCTAACTGATTAACCTTGTAATTGAAGTGCTTGACACCCATGATATTGTCATTATTGATTTTCTTTCTCCCCACACAATTCCCTTAAAGTAGTACTTGCTTTTTTGATTATAGAGGACGAATGATGCAATTTTAAAAAATTGCTATTTTCGAAAATTTTAAATGCGACATTTTTAAGATTCTTCAGTCTTGTGTTTAGTGTTTGTTTAGTTTGCGTTTTCTACATTCACTCAGGATTTCTTATTCCTCACTTGGAGTTTATATCTCGTTTTAATGACTTGGCTTCTAGCTTCATGAATGGTACCATGTCAACGATTTTCTTAGCTAATGTATTTATTTCCGGAATCAGCACGCCGCCACACCCGTTAGGGCACGTCTTTGTCCTCGAGGATGACTCACCCCTTCGGCTACGCGATTAAGGTAATCTGCAATACTACCTCGTTAAGTAAATACTAGGGTCATAGGCGCATCTGACCTAAAAGACATGGTATTGGCTAGGATGTTAGCTCAATCTTATCTAACCCAAATATATTAAGCCAATTTCGGGCAGGCATTAAACAGGAACTGGTTTTTGAATCCTTTGAAAATTCTGCATCCTCTTTGAAAAAATATAATGTCACCATCTTGGCAAATAAGAGTGAGAAAGCAATGGTGGATCAGAAATTATAAAACCTGTAAACTGACAAACTCCTTTGCTTAGTAAATAGGTGCCACAAAATTTATGTGAAATGAACATAGCAAGATATCTAATCATGGCTTCTAGACATCCCAAATGAAGAGGACTACGACATCAAGCTTTATAATGAAAACTATTTCATTTGGTAATCATGAAGCTCAGAAAAATAAATATGGTTCTTCAGGACCTCCTACATTCGCTATACCCCCTCTTAAAATGAGATATCTTGACCTCCTTATGTGCTTGGTTGCTCCTCCTTAAAGTGTGACTCCTGTATTACGAAACGTCTATTAATTTTACTGCGAAAAAAGCCAATTTCAGCTGGGTTATTAATTACAATTAGGTCACTATATTTAACTTCGAACAATGTCGTTTTTTTCTTCATCTGGATCCGAACAAAGTATTTTTTTGCCGGAATGTTTCCTTGCCACATTACAAAATTTCGCATCTGGATTAGCGCTTCATCTGAAAACTTGCAGATGCCATCCAGCTATTGATCCGTGTGACTGCCCGACTTACAAATTTCAAATCCCTTTCGTGGCACGTCGGCTGGCAGTGCCTATTTGGCGCAATATTGCCTACGGCAAAACGTGATTGGCCAATAAGCCGGCAATCTGATTGGCGTACCAGCTCATCATAACCGAACGGGGGTAATTTAACTTTATCTTAATGTGCACAAATTGGAATTTCTAAGGCTCTTCTGACAAATCCAACTGGAATCTATTCAATACTTAAATTGTTTTGCTTATGGGGATTAAATCTAAAAACATGCTTAAAATTAGCCAACTTTCGACAATCCAGTAAATATGTACACAATTTGACTATGTTCAGACTATGGTGGGTTTATTTGTCTCTCCACTTTTAAAGAACTCTCAGTTCACCGTCTGATAAGTAAAGGAAAAATCAAACGCTGTTGGATTGGGATTTCATTGGTCTGGTCGGGCCAAGCGTGAATTTCTAATACGCCTTGCAGTAATTGCGTCTAGCAGGTTTCTACTGTCCTGCTGCGTAGTAGTTGGCTTCCGCATTTCCAGCATTATATCATCGTTGCATGTGTGAATAAAATTTCGTGTACTCCAATTGACGCCCATTTATCTCATCACTTTAATAAGAGCAAGATGCTCAATTTTCACACTTAATATTTAGGGCATAAAAAAAAGCGATTCGGTATTGCTTTCATAATCGAAACTGCATGATAATTGAAATTTGATTTGAAAGTGGTATTTTATTAACAAAACGCGGAAGATTGCCAATTTACATCGCTTATGCTCTTTCAGGTGACAGCAAAAGTAGATAGTTAATTTTGAATAGTCTGTTAAACTCTGTTCGACTTTATGAAGGTCATTAATTCCAAATTGGAATACCTCCAAACTTAACACTAGTTTGCCTATTGAAATGATTATACTGCTGGAGTTTTGACGTACTTCTGGCCATTACAAGACCGCACTTGACGAAACCTAAGTACCAAGGAACAAATTTCTCCTCCGCTAAAAGAATTGCAACAGAATTACTTAGAGAGAAGAAACTCCCTTGAGTTTACCATTATCACACTCAAAAACGTGAAATTACATCAATAAAATTAATCCGATTTATCTCTCTCTCACATTTCTTCCACTTAGAAATTTTGTTCACTTGACTTTTAGCCATCTGGTACGAGCCTCTACTGAGAACTCACTGTGACCTCATTTGTCTACATCAGCTGTGACCACACTCCCCTTTAAACGTTGCTCCGCAAACGAATTCTAAGATCGCCTTGTCAACTCTTGTTATTCCCTGAATTATACATTCGTAGCAAATTCCCGAATTGCTACCATTATGCATCCTCTCTTAGGTTTAAGGTACGGAGAGTACTATATTAAATTAACTCTTGTTTAAGAACTATGCCTAAGAGAATCCCTAAAACAAAGCTCCTTTATCTGTTATCTCAATAATCCTTAACCGGTTACTCTCCTTTCTTAAAATTTGAATACATTGGGGCTAACATCTTGGTGGAATTAAGCAATTGGATGTCTAAACCAATACAATTTGAATTTACTGCTTCTTTCATCCACTTCGTATTCGCCGGAACGTTAACTAAGTTCTGCCTTGAATAATTGGCAACTGTGTAAAGGTAACGTGTTACTGAGGCTTCGAGGATGGTTTGAACTTCGAAACTAACACTAGACTTCGATGCATTTATAAACAGAAATTAACAAGACGTTGTCCAGCAAGTATCATATTGAGCGAATTTTCAAACTTTTAATAGTAATGAATGTTTTCGCTGCTATTGCAATTCATATAATTTCACCCTTTCAAGGTGCTTTTTAGTGTTCGTAACTATTGGGTTGGCAACTTAGTCATTGCCGTTTTGTTGACGGATTCACTCTATACTTTCTTTTGTTTTGTTAACGTGGCCAGAGCATCTAACCTATATTTTTTTCTTACTGTATGGGGTTCTAGGTTAATTAGTAAAAAATTTTTTTTGTTTAGTTCTTTAGTTTTGTTTTTATCCCAATTTAAAAATGAAAGAACACGACGTGCACTTCCGACACATTTTATTGTATTACTTCCGAAAAGGCAAGAACGCATCGCAAACACAAAAGAAGTTATGTGCCGTATATGGAGATGAAGCCGTGAGGAAGAAAGGCAGTGTCGAAATTGGTTTGAAAGATTTCGTTGCGGTGATTTTTCACTGAAAAATTCACAACGATCTGGCCGCCCAGTCGAAGTGGATGAAACCCATATCAAGGCCATTATCGATTCAAATCGTCACAGCGCAACACGAGATATTGCAGAGAAGCTCAATGTGTCGCATACATGCATTGAAAAAAAAATGAAAAACCCTTGGTTATGTCAAGAAAGTTGATTTATGGATCCCTCACCAGTTAAAGGAAATTCATTTGACGCAACGGATTAGCATCTGTGATTCGCCGCTACTGAAACGCAATGAGAATGATCCATTTCCGAGGAAGAACCTAGTTACTGGCGACGAAAAGTGAATAGTTTATAACAATGTTACTCGCAAGAGATCATGGGTGAAGCAAGATCAACCAGCCCAAACAGTATGAAAAGCAGAGATTCACCAAAAAAGATTATGCTGTCAGTGTGGTGGGATCACAAAGGAATTTTGTATTTTGAACTCATGCCGCAGAACCAAACGATAAATTCAAATGTGTATGTTGAACAACTGGAAAAACTGAAGGATGCAATTGAAGATAAGCGGCCGGCATTATCAAATCGGCGGAAGGGTGTTGTTTTCCATCATGATAACGCAAGGCCCCACAGACCTTTGGTTACTCGGCAAAAATTATTGGAACTGGGTTGGGATGTTTTGTCACACCCACCCCATATATAGCCCTGACCTTGCGCCTTCGGATTACCATTTGTTTCGTTCCATGCAAAACTCTTTAAATGGTAAAATTTGTAACAACGCGGATGATGTCGGATCACACCTAATTCAGTTTATTAATAGCAAAGACCAGACATTTTACGAACGGGGAATTTTTACTCTGGCAGAAGGATGGAAAAAGGTCATCGACAAGAACGGCCAATATCTAATTGAATAAAGTTATATTTTTAAGCAAAAATTCCGAATTTGCCTTCTTATTTGAAATCGGCAATGACTTAGTTGCCAACCTAATACTTGTGGGATGGAGTTTTACCTTAATTTACTTGTCTCGATTGGCTTGAACGCGGCTATCCGCCCAGTCTGAACTCAGGAAAGCTATACCTCTACTTATTTGAGATTGAGAAGAGTAAAGAATTATACTGGCATGCTTTTTGAGAATCTTTTTTTGAAGCCCGGGGTAGCGTGCTCTTTGCCACCCTAGTGAACAAAATGAGGAGGCCAAAAAAGGGATGGCCGGTTGTGAGGTACACTCTGTCAATTTGCACTAGGGAGGGGGGAGGGGGCCGGGGGGGGGGGGGGGTTGGGAAGGGGGATAAGGGATTGATTCTATTGTAAGGTTTATTAAGGAACTATCACAAGTGAATTAAGTGGTTCAATCCTGGTGCCAAGACTTCTGCCAACTTCCAGTTGCCGTTATGATAAATTCTTTATACATTTTGTTTTTCTAGGACCTAAGTTGGCATTCAAGCACACATCCATAGGGATCAGATACTACTTACCAAAAGCTCTGCTTTATTTCTAGCTTACTCGCAAGCCTTAATATGAAAATAACCAAGTTCTCATAAGCCCCACTTTTAGGTTATGCCGTGCCTTGGTGACAAGCCA